TTTAAAACACCGAGTGTGTGCAACAACCACTGAAGATCAGATCTTCTTCTTCTTTTTTTCATTTTACAACATGAACTATAAAAAGTATAAGAATATTCCACATCATCAGGAAAACAATTTTTCAGTTTTTAACGGATAAACTTTAAAGGTATGAAAATATTAACAAATTCGCTCAATAAAATGAATTTATTGATTTATTTATTTAAAAGGTTCTCTCTTATTTTAGTTAGTTAGTCAACCCACTTGTAATTGAATTACGTTTACAAAAGCAGATCACACATCCCTGAGGAGATGGTAGTAAAAATGCTGTTGATTCACGTAATAATAATAATAATAATACAAAACCGTAGGTTCGTCTGCTATTGGTCCACCTTTGGAACAAATGATGATGTATACTGCTGTTTCAGTTTCTCCGTGTTGGTAAGATCTAAATGATCGACTGGATGAGACGGTGAGCCTGTGTGGAAGTTTGTAAAAAGAAAATTCAATGTAAAAATGACTTAATAACAAAGTTGTAATCATAAGCGTCGCTCAACAAACACACACACACATTTCTCCTCGTGAAGAAAGCTATGACTAGAAAGCCAACGTATAAATTCGCATTGAAATATGTTAATTTAAACTGCAATTGTTAGTTAGATTAAAAAAGAAGAGAACATGAAATTCAGCAAAGATATCTGTGCTTTCGGCGATTTCATTTTCAAAAGCTGTACAATAATCGCATTTAAATATACATAAATTGATTCCACATAATTACGAAGATGAATTAAAGGTGAGGATTATTTTCAACGACGAATTGAATAAACGCGGCTGTGAAGCAGTTACATCGACTGAGATGGTTAGGACATGTGTTACACATGCATTCCTAGCCATCGCCTTCCTCGACAACAGGTAATGCTAGCTGACATTGGGTCAGGTTGGGAAAGAGCTAGAACGTGGTGGTCAAACCAAAACATGACCTCAACAGTCGATGAAATACACAACAGTTAGTTTAAGCCAGTCAACCAGTTACGTAGGGAGGTGTAGACTGGCTTCATGGTTGGGGTCCTCGGGAAAGTAAAAACCAATGAAGCCTGGAGACAGTTGGTGATACGGGTAGAAATCGTTCTCAATGGTTAGCGCAGATGCATCCACTCCTTGGAACTTATAATATCCAATAAAAAACTACATTGTTCATCGACATTACTATTCTTTTTGCCTCATATCTCCGTTTACTGTCTCTGTTTTGCATTTCTTTTACTTTCTTCTCTTGCTTTGTGTGCAGCGAGTGGAAATGCTGCATATCGGTGCAAAGTTCTACGTTGAAACCAGTCAGTGATATGGATTAGTAGAGGCTTAGAAAAAAATTACCGAGGATTAAAACGAATTACAGGTGTCAACAAAATGATTGCTTGTCTCCATGCTCATTTTGTTCACACCTGTAATTCGTTCTAATCCCGTGTACTTTTGTTTCTATGTCTCTTGTAATCCATATCAAGTTGAAAATAATCGTCACCTTTTATTCGTTTTTGTAACTATGTGGAATCAATTAGGAGTAACTGTATCTATGTATTGTATTTATGTATCTAAATCCGAGAATGAAATCGCCGAAAAGATATCCTTGCTGAAATTCGCGTTAGCTAGATCACTGAAAAATCGGAGAACACTAAACAGTTGTTTTGTCCTACTTCTGGGAATCTCCGGCAATGTGTACCCATGATCCTAACATGGATCGATACAGGGACCTTCAGGTTACGACACCAAGCTCGTTGACATTTAACCATTTGGACTAGAATTCCATAAGTGAATGCAAACTTTGTCAAATTGTGATATGACGCTACCCTCACCTACGATTAGCATCCACTTTATCTTGACATATGGCGGACTCCAGTGGTCACGACTTCCCACTACATCTTAAGGAAATTCATCCAGGAGTCATTAATGAGCTGGAGATTGAAATTTAAATCTTGGGATTCAAATCACAATTGTTATATTTCGTTAAGAATCAACAGGCGCTGGAGATTATCGAAGACAATTGGTTAGGAGTAGCGCCATATCACGAATTAACAGAAGTTTGAGCTCAAGAGTCACCGAATTCCGTACCAGGTGGCTTAGTGGTAGAACAAAATAGCCGTCCAGTGCTCGCTGGTTTTCAATGATCTCCCGGTAAAGTTAAACTTTACGCACCACTAACTAACTACAAATCAGCAAATGATCTTGAACGCATCAATCACATGAGGGGGGTATTTTTGATTATCGAATACATATATTTCTGAAAAAACTGTTACATAGGATACTCTTCTCTCAAATGTGATAAAAACATCACCCAGTTTAGCATAGGAGTATCAGCTATATGACTATAAATGTCATTCCTTTGTAATCTCCATTGATGGCTTTAATCCTGTTTTTTTAACCTTCACCAGAACTCTTCGATAGAATTGGTGTGGGTCCCTGTTTTTCAACCACAGCTGTATTTTTCCTTTAGTAAGACAGTTTCATCTACATGTAAGACGACACCTTCTCCTCTCAATAAGGAAGTAAACCTCTCAATTTTCCAGGATGCAATATCCCTGCAGTACTAGTATCACTGAATTGTTGATATGAAACTATTTTCAGTTTCAGCAGCTGCACCTACCTCTCACAGGCTGTTTTAAAACCCAGTAATTACAAATATACAAAATGTGGGTTAAGGACAAGTGGGATCTGGCAAAATATGTTCTTACGAAATAGTACAGACATTAGCTTACCTTCCCCTACACTAAATCCTCCCCCGCTTCACAAGAAAAACGATGGACATATCCATCAACCGACTTACTGAAGCTTTTTATACTCATAACAACTCCGTATGAACAAATCCTTTTTCTTAACCTAATGAACCCCACATCCAACGAATACCGGAAAACCTTATCCTCACTAAACTGCAAGCGCAACTGCGTTATAGCAGGCATTTGACTACAATCAAGCGGAAGAGAACCTTCAACTCACGTGGATGAAACTCATTGGACGATTTAAGGCCATTCACTGATTGGCAGTTAGTGGTGCTTAAAGTTTAACTTGGCCAATCTCCCTAATTGATGTTGGTTTATGAAGAAATCCAAATCCCGTAATCCGAATTTAAATTGCCAAAATTAAGATGTGGACATTAACAGTGTGGCCACAGAAATAAAGGACGACCCTACAACAGACAAAACAGGTATATGCACGCATGTACTGAATTCACAGACTGATGGTATATCTTGATATGACCACTTATCTCTTACACCCACATTAATTCTAGGAATAAAACTTCTATCAGTTCACACTCACTTAGACTTAGGTGACATAGTTAGCCAGGATTTAAAAACTACAACACACTGTCAAGCGGTGGCTGCACGTAGTTTCAGGTCCTTATGGGCAATACGCAGAGCCTTTACTAGAATCACCAGAGATATGTTCACCTCCTTATATACAACTCTGGTGAGGTCAAGACTAGAAAACTGTATCCAGGCAGCCAGTCTTTGCCTTATAGGGGATTCACACATTCTAGAAAGGCTTCAAAGGAAGCCAACACTTATGGTTCTCGGCAAGACTAACTTATCATACGACGAGGAAAGACCAGACAGTTTAAATCTCTTCTCCCTGTCATACCGTAAGCAAAGAGGAGATTTATTCACAATGTTTAAAATTTTAAATAATGACTACGGACCTGATCTATTCTCTCTTTTCCTTCCCACCTAAGAAGACACAGCAGAAGAGTTCAAAAACCAAGAAATTATATTGCTGTTGAGTACTGGTTCTCACACCGAGTCATAAACTCTTGGAACCGACTCCCAAAAGAAGTGGTGTCTGCAACCTCAACTGATTCGTTCAAGAAGGGTTTGGACAATCACAGAAATTTACCAGAAGAGGGTTAACATAGGCTCCAAGCCTTCTATCATCAACCAATAAATCTGAAATCTTAGTTAACACTACTAAATGAGGAATGGACATGGGTGGTATATCCTATCGAAAATTCATCATCTCATAGATTGATTTAACTTCTTCATTCAACTTTACTTGTAGAATAAATGTATACATAACTTTTGGAATCATATTGATGCTGTTCAGCTATTTTTAGGATTCAGATTCACATTATAAGGATAGAGGGCTCTTGGTACCTATGTTAATCCTTGAAATAGATATGTCTCTGCAGAAATCTAGTTTCCCTTTGAAACCGTTCATCGATGGAGCTATTACTACTGAATCAGGTAAGGAGTTTCAGTCGTTGACCACTCTGTGAGAGAACCTAAATTCCACACGTATTTTATTCGACCTCAGTTTGAGCACCTGGTTTTTGGCAACCTCGTAAATGTATCCTAGAAGGAGAGAAAAGATTTGAAAGGTTAATCCTTAAATCACCCTTTAATATACGGTGTCCCAAAATAAAGTCACCTCTCCTCCTTCGGTATGATAATGAGAAGAAATTTAAGTGCTCCATCCTCCTATCATAAGGAACGTGTCAGGTACCACTAACTAATTTGTTTCCTATCCTATGTACTCTTTTCCAGGATTTGTGCCTCCTTTTTGAAACATGGACTCGCCGTTTGTATGCAGTACTCTAGATGAGGTCTGGCATATGTTGCGTAGAGTACTTGGAACATAACCTCGTCTAACCATTTGAAAGCCCTTCGATGTGCTCATAGCATTCGAAAAGCCTTACATGCGGCTCGATTACAATTTGACGTTGTTTTTAAGTCATGGTTTATAATAATTCCTAAGTCCTTTTGTCCCTTAACATCTGGCAGTTGTGTCTTCCAGGGAGTACGACGTGTAAGACTTCCGACTTAGGTGCATTACCGTACTTTCCTTGGAATTAATTTCCAGACTCCAGAGGTTAGCCCATTCAACTAATTTACCTAGATCGTTTTGTAGTACCAACCTATCATCGTTATTATTTACAGTTTTCCATATCCTAATATCGTCCGCAAATAGTGAAGCTATGACGAAGTATACTTTTTATGTAGAAGGTTGTAGCTCACAACATCCAATGATTAGCAATATTACCCAGTTTTATGAGTCACTCACTAGTGAATTGACTGACTTTCAAAGTAGAACTCTGAACAAAAATAAAACACTGTAAGTTGCCATAATCCACCTAGTACACAAAAGTAGAAGAAATAAATTCATAAGAACTACAGTGGGCAGAATTTTATGGGAGAAAGAATGGTAACGTGGGTAACATTAGGATTTAGTGGATCTGTGAGATTACAAAGAATGGATACTTCTACACCAATGAGGACAGTTTTGCGCCATATCACTAACACTCTCTAGCCATATGTTCTCAGCATCTTAGGGATTCCAACCGAGCAGTCTACATCTTCACGGACTGATTACACGTCTTGTTCTGACCACATATAACCCTTCCCTAACCTAATCCTAAGTCAGCTAACTTTGTCCATCGAAGGTGCCAGCTTGGAATATGTCCTACCCATTTCAATTGGTGCAACTTCATAATTTCATCGACCGCCCCAACCCTCCCTCTCAATGAAGTTCATTTTCAGCCCCATTATAGGTAAGATTTTATTTCGACACACCACACAGTGTTATACAGTAATACTAACTAATGACGTTTCGAGCACAATTTACTGCTCATAATCATATCAGCCATTGACATACTCACTGAAGTCAGTCGTCCAAGTCAATAAATGCCACCTTCAGTTATAGCATAGTAACCAAACGCATCTTCTATTAAATGTGTAAAATAACTACAGATTCCATAACTAACTACTTATACGAAACATTGTCACTGCACAAACCCCAATTAACAAATACTGATTGAGAAGACCTCCCACTGGGGAAGAACATCACAGAAAAGCACCTTCTAACATGTTCAAAATGCCGATTAGTTTAAATACTCCGTTTCCAAGATTACTGTTGGTTTAAATCTACCTGAAATTAAAACGGGGTGAAGTACAACTCAAATGTTGCATCTTCAACATGCGAAACAATGAAGCAGACTCATTCACCACATGACAGACAGGCAATAAGATTATCTATCGGTCGAATCGGCAAGCAGACGCTAATTTCCCAGTATTTAACGACAGTCAGAAAACAATAAGATCATTCTCTGTTCTTATATGTGCATGTTTTAAGACAGACTAATCTAACAGGAGAATAGAACATGTCACACAATTGGCACACACACAAACAGAGCCCGTGTTACTGGTACATAAAAATACAAGACACTAGTGGGAGTGTAGACTTTGCAAAGTCATTAGGCGTCATGTGGTCAAAATTGTTGAGCTTTTTAGTTATAACATAGATATACTGAGTCTCTAAAATGTTAGGACGACCAAAGTGAGAGGAAATAAACAGGATTTCTGAAACGTACTTCGCTGGCAGCCTAGACCAGCATGACGGTTGAACGGGTCAGATTTCTCCAGACTCTTACGGAACTGATTCTCCAACTCCAAGTTTATTACAGATGGATCCTTGGTTCCTTTGTGGACACTTTCTACATCTTCCCCTATCACAATTTTCCCCTTGTGTGTACGGTCAGGCTTTCCACCCATCAATCTCAGAAACTTTTTATTCCTCTCTTCGGATCCCAGGTTAACATGTTCCCAGTCATTAGGAGAGTGTACATCGTCAGGTTTGAAATCACCACCGAGATCACCCATCTAATTCGTATGTAACTAGAGGAACGACCTTGAATCAAAACGCCCACGACATTATCCAATATCCAATATAAATTTTACATACTAGCGTATACCGAATTGATTTCTTTGGGCCAGCCTCTTGGCTTTGCAGTAAAGTCTCCTACTTTCTGATTAGCAAAGTTAAAGAATGGGGACTGAGGAGTGCGAATGCGCAAGTGACCCTGAGATGACCGATCAATCTCAAAAGGCTGATTCACCTCGCTTACTCAACCCTATTCTTAGTGTGTTTCCTCAGTTAAAAATATCCCTGCAACTTAATATAGGACTAATCCCAAGTTATCCCCACTTCAAAGGTAACCCTACCCTTCAAATGAATTAATACAGCAACCGTAAACAAAGACGCCACAATCAAATGACCGTGAACCATCTAATCTAACTGCCCAGCATTACAAATGGATGCTTTTTATAATCTTTGTTGGAAATATCACTCTAACCCTAATCATAATCCAACCCTAACTCAACCGTGAAACAGAGTGAGATTGGCAAAGAAGATTATGAGAGGTATTCATTTGTAATTCTGAGAGATCTGGTTGGTTGGTTGAAGACCACTTGACTATGATGTCTGTCCTTTACTCTTGTCACAAGTCCTCAAGTAACCAGACATCTCGTTTGATATCCTCACATTTTTACCATATCCTACGAGTATAATGCCCTCCACTTTACTTCATTAACTAGCTCTGCATTTGCGTTTCAAGGCCGTTGGGGCGTTCTGGGTAACTATCCTTTAACTTGGCTCTTCAGTGAGTCTCTGTTTAGATCATTCCGTCAACTGGCCCCATAGCACCGTTCGATTCTGAGTGAACTGGTGTGAAGATTGATTACATGGGGCTTGCCGTAAGCGGCATGTTGGGATAACACTGCCGTTGGGAATGAAGTTAATCATTTCACCCCTCAGTTGTCTGGTGTGGTAGATAATAGATAATAAGACGGCCAAAGCCCTGTAAATGTCGGACTGTTAATTTCCATTTCAGAAACAAACGTTTACACGAACTGGTTCGTTCACAAGATTCTTTTAGCACAGAAGTCACCGAAGTTTAAACTAAGTCGATTACTAAACATCTTAGATTGCATCTTCTGTCTGATTACTACTGGTCTTTTCGCATCATGTTAATTCCCAGAAAGATATCTCATCTAACCTTTAAGGAAGTAAATAAAATCTGTCATCACTGAGTTCCTATTTTCACAGCTTGTTAACTACTGTATTCTGCCCGTTCTTCTTTGCTACTTCCCCTTAAAATTTTCTGTACTACTTAAGAAAGACTTCCTTACATAGTCCGTGGCGTGAAATGTCGGTAGGACGACTGGGGTGTCAAACTGTTGAAGGCAAACACTTGGCCTCATGTTGAAAGTTCCAGCTTGTTTCCACGCAGTATTGTGGTATAATTTTTAATAATAATTTTTCCTTCACGTTCCCAGAGGAGCATAGGGATTCAAGCTAGTGGCTTGAAGTTTCTGTAGCAGTGTTTATTTTTACAGGATGAGGTTAGTAGCCTCATGCCCAACCTTTCCTCTTTACCAGCATTATTTCTGGCATAGAGAGGTAAAGGAGTGCGTCGGCCAGGGATCGAATCCCGGACCATGTGCATGGTCGGCGAGCGTCCTAACCGCTATGCCACCGACGCACATTGTGGTAAAACTGTGGAATTCTCATTATGCGACATCAGTGGCCCAAATTTAGCAGGCCGACCATTGATTTCATGTGTGCGTAGTCCGGGGATCGAACCTCGGAACATGTGCATCGTAGATGATCTCCATAACTGACGGATTTATTTATTTTTTTCATCGTATGATCCTTAGCATCCATACACAATTTACCCACAGTATAAATAAGTAAGGATACAAGTGATTATAAAAGAATTTATCCTTGAGTGCCTAGGAATAAAAGGATTACCAAGCGCAAACGAACTATTAAGGCAGACTTTTGCACCATTAAAAATTGCACTCTTTGGAACCGGCTACTGTTCAACCACTTTACTGAGTTGCTCTTCCTCCAATAATAATGTGAACATCTCTAAAATCAGTTACATTAGCAACCACACCTTCAAATTTTCTTGATGTATTTACACATATACACATTTAAATAATTGTCCCAATACATCCTACCGATATAATATGTAAAATAATTCGGTGAGGTACTTTCCCGAAACAATACGCAGAGATGAAGCTGCCCAGACACCTATGAGATTATACACACATTCTGACTAGGATTTTTATCAGTATATAATAAGATGCACCGATTAGGACTCATACTTTCCGGACGAGCAGTTAACGGCGGTTTTTAACAATTGTTATTACAATATAACCTAAATTCATGACGTCATCGTACCTGAGAGGATTCTTACCTTCAAATCGCCTCAAAGCGATTTTATCCCGACATCGTAAAGGAGAAGTCTACTAAAGTACCCCATAAAATACTACAGATATCATGACTTATCATCTTTAGTGGAATTCAAGAGTTAAAAAATTTAAAGCCTCAAAAACAAAGAAATGAGAGTCATTCAGCCACCGCGAAACCCAGGAGAAACAGCATACTGTATGATTGGGAGCGACCGCAAGCAATGTAGTGCTGCAACTGCAGTTATTGATGAAGAAATCGTATAGCTTGACATCAAAAAGGGAGAAAGGGTGGCGCATGCTTATTAGCATATCCGGTAGTGGTCACAAATTTGAATCACTCCAATCTGTAGAACAGCAACATGGATGTTTTGACAGCTTCAGAGTTAAGAAGTTCAGTTAGTCTGTATCCTTAACAAAGAAGAAAAATAAGGGTTGTACAGATACAAATTTTTCTAAAAAATGCTTTTGCTCCTATCATCTACAAGACCCTTCAACTTCTTGTCAAGATGCTACCTCATGGACCCTATAACTGTGTTTCAAGCCATTTTGCAGTTTCTCAGGACGTTCTCCTCTTCCAGAAATAGCTTTTAATCAAGTGTAGGAATAGCGCTTACCCAAACATACTCTGTTCACTCGTTTACCATAACTATCAGCAGGAAACGGAACGAAGTTTGGGTTGTCGTTCAACTTTCATGGTGACCGTAGTAAACGGTTTACAATTTAACATTTATGAGAACCTGTTCTGACTGTTTGTGCAATAAGTGAGCAGATGAAACCTTTGAAAAGTATTAATATATGTCACTTCAGGATTTTAATTATTATATAACTGATGGTGCCTGTAAAAACGACGTGCATTTCTCGTAAACACCAGTTTATAAGAAATATAAATTATTATTTGTTTAGGAGGCTCTATCTCAAAATATCCATAATCCCTTCATATAAACCTGTAGCGGAATACACAGCCTAACACACTCCCCAAGAAAGCTGCACCAAATCTACATGAACTACCCTCTCTGCAGATACATCTCCATCTCCGGAAAAACTCTGCCAGCCTCATCGGTCATAACTTTCAAGTCATTTAACTCCATTTAATCCAAGCTGCTGACAGTCAAACTAGTCAAATAATATGGCGTATATCCCTAACAACACTGTATCATAGGCATTTCAGTGCGGTAAGTGTTTTGTCTCAAGGTTGAGTGGTAAATAACCTGAATATGACCGGGATTAAAACCTGCATTTGTGACTTCCTAATTTTGTGCATAAACACTATCTGCGTCTACGCAAATTCCAGCCCCACAGGTGACTGTCTAAAAAATAATACTAACTACGCGGTGTGTCAATCACGTCTCATAAACCGTTAATGCCCAGCTCTCGCTACGCTCATCCTGGAGAGAATCAAACAAGCCCTAGATGAAAAACTTCGTCCGGAACAGGCTGGATTCAGGAGAAACAAATCATGTATTGATCAAATCGCCACTCTACGGATCATCATTGAACAAAGCTTGGAATGGCAGTCACCTCTCTATCTCAACTTCATCGACTTTGAAAAGGCCTTCGACAGCGTCGATCGAGAGGTCATTTGGAAACTACTTCGCTACTACGGGGTCCCATCGACAATTATACACCTCATCCAACAGTTATACGACAATGCTGCATGCCAAGTAATCCACAACGGGAAACTTACGGAAGCCTTCGAAGTGAGGACGGGAGTGAGGCAAGGCTGTCTACTATCACCAATGATCTTCCTGATTGCAATTGATTGGATAATGCGACAGACAACGGCAACCAACGAGGGAACAGGCATAAAATGGACTGACACAAAAGACTTGGAGGATCTGGATTTCGCCGATGATATATGTCTGATTTCCCATAAACTGGAAGATATGCAAGTGAAAAGTAACAAGTTGGCAGAAGAAGCATCAAAGATAGGACTTCACGTGAACATAGATAAAACAGAAGTGATGAAGATTCCTAGCCAACATCAACAGCAACAACAACAACAGACAACAATAAGCATAAATGGGAAGAACCTGAAAGAAACAACCCCCTTCACCTACCTGGGAAGCATCGTCTCAACTACAGGCGGAACTGACGAGGACATCAAAGCCAGAATCGGAAAAGCAAGACAAGCTTTCATTACTCTCAAATCTGTGTGGAGGTCAACAGCGCTCAGCATCAAAAATAAGATCCGGATTTTCAACTCCAATGTGAAGTCAGTGCTACTATACACGGATCAGAGACTTGGCGAGTCATAAAGAGCATCTCAAACAAACTTCAAACCTTCATTAACAACTGTCTCCGCTCAATACTCAAGATCAGATGGCCAGAAAAGATCAGCAACAGGGATCTGTGGCAATGAGCGAACCAATCAGGAACCGATTGTGAAACAAATAGGCAGAAAGAAATGGAGATGGATTGGCCATACGCTGAGGAAACCATCAAGTGACATCACTAGACAAGCCCTCGAGTGGAACCCGAAAGGGAGGCGGCGAGTTGGTCGTCCAAGGGTGACTTGGAGGAGGTCATGCGAGGAGGAGATGAAAGCATGTGGACAGACCTGGAGCAGGTTGAAAAAGTTGTCAGAAAACCGAAGTCAATGGAGGTGCGCAGCTGAAGCCTTCCAA